TGAATCATTGAATTTTATTAAAAGGATTACAATCTTTATTCTCCACTTCTGAGAACTTCAAGGAACAAGAAACCACTTTCGGAAATTTGGTGGAATTTTATGAAAGTGATTTGATAACTACGAAGGATGATGCTATAGCTGAGTATAGAATTTGGCGAAGAACGTTCTCAGAACTGGAAAACAAACCGAAGAATGCGATGGATGCCATATCGGTATGCCCACAGTATATTTTTAATAATATATTGCATCTACTGAAGATCCTGGCTTGTTTACCAGTTTCAACGTCATCTGCTGAAAGATCTTTTTCAACCTTGAAAAGGAATAAAACTTATCTAGAAATACAATGTTGGAAGTGAGATTTTGTAATTTCTATAATACTACTTCATAATTGTTTATGAAATTTCAGGGCAGATTGAATGGCCTGGCTTTACTTGCTGTCCATAAAGACATCGACCTTTCAGTGGATGAAGTAATAGATGCACTATTCAGAAGCGCGACGAAACTTGAATTTCTAATTTGATGAGAAATTAATTTTTCTGTTACCTAAATATTTTCACAATGTACCTTTTTAAGTTTTATATTCTCTTAATCTCATTTTTCAGTAACTGAATTGATTTCTAATTTTCCTTTTTTTTTTTTTTTTGTTCCTTTTTTTAATGTTTGTACCTGTTGATATGTGATATTATTTGATTTAGTTTTTAATACATTTTTAATTTTTTTATTATTGTTACCACATGATTCACATTCATCAAAACCACGTAAGTTATACGCATTGCTTTCCTTTTTCCTAAATATTGGATATTGGACCTAGACCCCCCCCCCAGGGATAAATCCTAATTACGCCACTGGTGGGCTTGGTGGGGATGGTGGTGCCAGACATTACAATATCGGGCGTACTTAGTTCCGCCTTTCAAGAGAAAATACAGGCTTGAGTTTTGGTGGCGTTGAATTCAACTAGGTTGTTGATTCCCCAGGCTGTGATTTCAGCAAGGTCTCCATTGACAGCATTGACCTGCCTGCGCCGTGAGTTCTTAGTTTCTTGGGAAGAAATGGGAATTCTGGATGAGAACGAAGTATCGAGGGTACTATCATCTGCAAAGCTGTGGATGTGTTGATTGCGACCAAGTCAATTTTTACTACTTCCATCATTTTTTGAAGGTGAAAGGGGACTGGAAAGCGTATGAATAAACATACTTACACAAAACAGATCACCTTCAAGCACACTCAAACTAATCTGGGTAGGTACAATGTTCAATATAATTACGAGAACTGTGTTCCTGTTAGCCGGCGAGACCGTATTTTATAGAATCAGGTATGTGACGTTTCGCACCCCACTAATTCACAAAATACCCTTCAACAGGAAACAAAGTCGACAACGATTGTGTGTATGCGCATACAAGGTCGTAGGAGGGTATTTCATCCGAGGTAATTCTACTAGTGGTCGCTCCTCTCAAGATTACTCTTTTCCTCAATGACACCACAACGTCGAGGTCACTCCCCCAAGGACGACTCACTCTTCAAGGACATTAGCCACTTTACTCCTTCCCAAGGTCACTCTAGTCAAGGTCACTCTGGACGAGGTCACCAAGGCCACTCCCTCCACGGTCGCACTCCTCTGACCATGGGGGGACATTCAGAACCAACGAAAACTATGTACTATAAATTATGTCCTCCATGTACATCAGCGCCAAATTTCAAGAGGAATTCTTGATATGTATTTATTTTGAATACTGGATAGGGATATTTCGGAGATTAGTATGAAAATATGATTATTATTTCAATATACGTGTAGGACTAAGCAGGTGGTAGATTTATGATCAATTAATGAAAAAACCTTCAAATCGCCTTTGCTTGCCAACATCATTCATGTATATGACAACATGAGTCTGGCACTTCTTTTCGAAAGGAAGAGTCACTGAAAAATTATTAGATTTTTCTTTTGGACCAGATAGAAACATTAATAGACGCCGTGACATTTTGGGGCAAATCATCTGATTGATCCTACTACACGTACATTGAAATAATACCAATATTTTTATCTTATAAAAACAAGGAGAGTAAATCCCAAATAATCAAGCAAAATGAGAGTATCATCTCCTCGATTAACCTTTGAACAGTATTTATTTTTTCAACTATTGCCATTTTTGTCTGAAAGCGTTTGAGAAAATAATAATACTGGGGTGGGCGTACTTTTTTTAATGATACCGATATTTTGGGTAATAGAAATCTTAGAAGGGCATGCAACTTTTCTCCCCAACATTTTCTATCGAACCGCATTCGGCCTCGCATAGGGTGAGGTTACTTTTTTCAAGAGCTCGTTTTTGAGAAAAAAAAAAAGAATCAATGGGGTGGGGGTACTTCATTTCTATGATGCTAATATTTTAGGATATTGAAATTGGGAATGCTGATACGATTATCTTTGCTCAATATTTTCCACCAAACCTCATCTTTTCTCAAGTGCTCGTTTCTGAGAAAAAAATGTGTTAAGCTTTTGTGGTCGGTACTTTTTTCCATGATGCTAATATTTGATGGAATCAAAATTGAGGAGGTTGATACGACTTGCTTTCCTCAACATTTTCTGCCAAACCGCCTCATGTCTCAAGAGCTCGTTTCTGAGAAAAAAATTGCTCAGGTTATGGGGAGGAAAAACCATTTCTCTATATGACGCCGATATTTAAGGAAATTGAAATTGTAAAGGATTATAGGACTTGCTTTCCTGAACATTTTTCACCAAATCGCATTCTGTCTCATGAGCGCGTTTCTGAGAAAAAAATTGTTTCGATTATGGGGTGGGGGTAATGTATCTCTATGATGCCGATATTTTAGGATATGGAAATTGTGGAGGATAATATGACTCGCTTTCCTCAACATTTTACACTGAATCGCATACTGTTTCAAGAGCTTGTTTCTGAGAAAAAAAGTTCAGGTTATACTATTTCAGGTTATAGCTTCCTGAATGTCAATGGAGAGTGTGTCAGTGCTGTGATATTGTTCCTCGTATCAACAGATATTCGAAGGAGGTAAGGTAGGGCCATTTCGACCCCACATCACCAATTATCATATCAAATGGGTCAAATAATCGACCCATGTTCACCTTATAGTCTTATATCTTCAGAGATAACTGCATTCTGCAGGTTATGGCGGGCCCTTCACGAGATGTCAGTTATTTCGATACAAACTTCGAATGTACAGTTCAGAAATGGTTAGACGAAGCAGACAGTGACGTAGATGATACTCTGGAGGATTCAGATGAACTTGTGAGTGAGCATGATTCCAGAAGCGAACAATCTGCAGATTCTGACTGTATAAAAAATCCAGAAGATGTTGATGAACTTTGTGATCGTAACTACGATGTTGCCGAAAATGAATGTGCTGGAAACAATGTTGCTGAAACTGATTCAGAACAACTTGGCGATACACAGATAGCACTAATTGATGAGGAAAATGACGATTCACCAAACTCTGGTACCGAAGATAATGAAGATGATATCCCTTTATCAGAATTATTGGGTAGACCAACTTCCAATGAAAAAATAAATGTTTCAAATGGTCCCAGGTGCCTCCATCAGCAAGAGTTCGGCATGCTGCACATAATATTGTTTTTACTCAAAAAGGTTTGCTGGGACGTGCCAAGCAGTTGGGTAACAAACCTGAGCATAGAGAGGTTTGGCATCTGATATTCACTGATGACATAAAAAATGAGATTTTACATTGGACTAACCAGAAGATTGAAGCTTTCAGAATGAATTTTAGTCAGCCAAATAGACCTGAATTATCTGCTCTAGATATAGTAGAATTCGACGCATTCATTGGCTTACTGCTCTATACGCAGATCTTCAAATCCAATCGAGAAGATCTACGGGCACTATTTTCTAAAGATGGAACCGGAATAGATTTTTTTCGTTGCACAATGTCAGAGAAACGATTCCTGTTTATTCTAGCATGTCTCCGTTTTGACAATCCAAACACTAGGAATGAAGGAAAGGGATCGAATATAGCTGCAGCGATATCGTACATTTTCTAAACTTTTGTTAGGAACTGTCAAGAAGTATACTCTGTTAGCGAAAACACTTGCATTGACGAGATACTGGTTTCCTTCAGAGGTCGTTGTGGCTTCAAAATGTACTTTCCGAAAAAACCAGCTAAATATGGTTTGAAAGTCATGGCTCTGACAGATGCTGAAAACAACTATTTTTACAATGGATATTTGTATAGTGGAAAAAATAGCGATGGTTCGACACTCACCCAACAGGAAAAAAATGACCATTCCCTCGCAAAGTGTGATAAGACTAACCAAACCCATCGCTAAGTCAAACAGGAAGGTCACGACCGATAATTGGTTTTCTTCCGCAGAAATCGCTTACGAGCTCAAAAAAAGAGGACTCACGTATGAGAAAAAACAAAAAAGAAATACCGAACGAATTTTTGCCTGTGAAAGGACGAGATGTGGAATCAAGTTTATTTGGATTCACTAAAGATCTCACGTTGGTATCGTATGTACCTAAGAAGAACAAAGCCGTTCTGCTCATCTCTTCAATGCATCAAACAACCAATATTGACCAGAATACCAAAAAGTCTGAAATTATAATGTATTATAACAGCACCAAAGGAGGAGTCGATGCCTTAGACCACAAATGTTCAGTATATTCATGCGGACGTCGCACGAATAGGTGGCCACTGGCAATTTTTTTTTCGAATCATTGACATATCTTCAGCTAATTCTTTTATACTCAACGGACTTTATAGTGCAACATCTAATGAGTCCAGGTTTGATTTTATAAAAACACTCGCACGGTCCCTTGTGCTACCCATCTACCCATCTAAGAAGGGCAAGAAGACCTCATATGCTTGTGGGAAATGCAGAAAGCCCATTTGCAATGACTGCAGCAGACATATTTGTAAACGGTGCTTGTAGAATCATGTTTTCATGAGACGCCAGAATAATGATCTGAGTTTTTTTCTGCGAAATATATTGATGCTACGATTTTTTAAGTTCATAGCCTGATTTGTTTTGATGTGTTCAGACCAATTCAATCTATTGTTTGCGAACTGCTTCCATTTTATTTGTATTTTTTCAAATAAAGATGTATAAAAACTATATTTTTTTATTTCTCCGATTGAGGGTGAACATTCTTCGCCAAATCGCATTATATCTCAACAGCTCGTTTCTGAGAAAAAAAAATTGTTCAGATTATTATATGGTTGGGTTACTTTTTCTCGATCATGTCGTAATTTTATGAAATGAGAATTGTGGGAGGTAATACGCCTTCTTTCCTCGGCATTTTCCACCAAATCGCATACTGTCTCAGGAGCTCGTTTCTGAGAATAAAAATTGTTCAGATTTTGGGGTGGGGGTACTATTTCTCAATGCCGATATTTAAGGAAATTGTACTTGTGGGGGTTGATACGACTTGCTTTCCTCAATATTCTCCATCAGATCGCATTCTGTATCAAGAGCTCGTTTCTGAGACAAAAATTGTTTAGATTTTGGGGTGGGTGTACTTTTTGTCTGTGATGCCGATATTATATTAAATTGAAATTGTGGAGGCTGATACGCCTTGATTTCCTCAACACTTTCCACCAAATCGCATCCTGTCTCAAGAGCTCGTTTCTGATAGAACAAATTGTTCAGGTCATGGGGAAAGTGTAATATTTTGCACCAAATCGCATCCTGTCTCAATAGCTCGTTCCTGAGAAAAAAAATGTTCGGGTTTTGGAGTGGGGGGGGGTACTTTTCTTCTCTGATGATGAAAAACAGAATGTATTACATCACATTTGAACTGTAGTAGGTATAGGTATAATAATGATTCTAGTAATTCTCAGAGATTGAGCTGATCCTTGTTTGGGTGCATAAATCATCGAAATAATTGATACATTATACGATCTCTATATGGATGACATGACAAACTTCATACGAATATAAAAGTTGACCTAATAAGCGCGGAAAGTAATACTTTTCTGCACGTATTGGATGAACTATTTTTGTACTGTGCGTAAAAAAACCAAAATCCTTCTTCCCGCACTCAATGGAGTGTTGAAAGAGTCACTTTTCCGCACTAGTGAGGAAAAAATCTTAACACTAAAATGAGTGCGGAAAAGTGAACTTTTCCGTACTTCATTGAAATCAAAAATTTTTCTACGGCTTCAACACGAAATTGTTCTTGTTTTACTGTGTTCGATACATCAATGAGGTACTTAACGAAATTGTATCCATTGAACATCAAAGGCGGCATCAAAGCTTTCGTATCTAGGTAGTTAGGTGATATGTGGTATTGGTGCTTGAAAAAGCAAAAGATCACTGGGCATGATGGGCCATTTTTTATTTTTATTGAATAACGCAATGAAGGTTTAATGTGTGGTCTACAAAAATCACCCTGTTTATCTCAGATTGAGAGTGGAAATACGTATTGTTTAGTTACCTAAATGATACAGATTGAAAGAAAGCTTTGAATAATTCCAATAACGTGCATGCAGCATATTTCAGAAGTACCTCACAATTCAATCGCATCAAAATTTTTACTACGCCATTTGTGTATCTAAATGATATTCGGTTTAGGTGAATGGTATGTGAAGGGGTAAGTTTTTGCATATATTTCACTTTCCGGTCACTTCTGGTTGGCAGAGGATCCAGTTTTTCAGTTTTGAATACAACACCCTGTGTATTGTTACAATTTTGGAATCCTGATATTCTGAATCAGAATGTGAAATTTTGAAAGTTTATACGCCTAGCTCATTTTTTTAATGACTTTAATCATCGAATAAAGTTAAGGAACTTCAACTGTTTGCTCATAAGGTTTGTCACTATCATTAGCTAAGTGTGTTTTGCTTTCCATAGAAAACTTGATGAAAATAACTTCAATATTATATGCATTATGGGTGTTCTATTTAGAAATTCAAACCCGGAGCAATTTCCGGTGAAACCGGAATCGACCAGAAAGTGAAGAATGTGCAAGACCTTTCTTCTTCAGATTCCATTTACTTATACCAAATGTTGTAGAAGTTATGACTCGTCTAATAGATTCGTAACACCCGGTATGGTCCTTGCCATCTTCAAAAATATCAATTTTCAATAAACTCATCAGTATGAATCAAATTAATTACAATAAAGCGTACCTAAAATAAGATTTGTAAAGTATAGCCAGTTGTTCGTATGAGAATTCCATGATTGAGACAATAAATGAGCGGCTTGCGAGAGTTGTGCATACTGCGCATTCCTCATTTTGGCGTCCAACATAATTGACGTTATAACGTCCAAAATTTTAACGCTGAAAAACGAGGAAGGTTGGTTACGTGCGGGTCAATTCGGCTTCTGTATTGGTAGAGCAAGTCCGATAAAATTCAGTAAAGAGAAATATCGCTGTAATACTGAAGAAACCGAGAAAATGGCCGATTCATATTGATTCTAGAGACCAAGAGTGAGATAGTTCCCCAGATATTTTTTTTGAATGTTTATATTAACGTCAGTTCAGTTCAATAAAATAACCGTTTCACATCTCGAACAACTCAATAAAAATGAATTATACATACCCTCAAAATATTGGGATATCTGCCTAATAAATAGCTAATTTTGTGCAAAATCAATAATTGAAGGAAGGCATATGTCAACTACTCCTCTTTAGCAGTTAGAGTATTTGAAAGACCCCTGAGTTAACGAATTTTTTCTCATGCGTGGATAAAATTATCAAAAAATTTATGGAAAATAGATAATTATACCATTCTTTTTATAATTAACGAAAAAATAGCGATATCACGTTCAGTTGTTATTTTTCTTCATTTCATTGTTGAAATCTGCATTTTGACGCCACAGAGATAGTCTACCTAGACTGCTCAAGAAAATGTCATTCTGGTTGGTGCTTATTATGGGTTCTCTGTTACTCCGTATTTTTCTAATAACTCCTGTTTCCTCTTCCTCAATAGTGCTAGCTCAATATCTTGCTGCGATGGTACTGGTACATGCGCAACAAATCTTTGCTGTGAACCATCCAAGACAGTTTTGATGAGATCATCGCCATCATCATCGGACTGAAAAATAAGAAAATAGTCAGTGGGCAATCATGAATGAGATGTAATGGAAAATAATGGAATTAATTTATCTGGAATGACAATCACACTAACTATAAGTTCGCATGAATTACTTTTTCAAACGGATAAATCTATTACGTCCTGCAAACAGATCACACAACACTGGAACAGGTACAGTTTTCATCAGTTATCAGGAAGACTTCCTTCGATGATTGTTTAGTTTATCGTTACTATCAATCCTTGTTGAAATTCACTCTGTACATCAAGTATAATGTAATTTTGAAAGACTCTTCGAGCAATATTTCAACTAACAGGGAAAACAAGGTATTTGTTAAAAACATGCCTATTGATTGTGGCAATCTAAAACGGTTATTATACAGATGAAACCGTTTTCTTTTTAATGAAACACCCTGTATATTTTTTCATATTTCAATTACTGGTACAATATTTTCAAAATCATGAATTTACATATTAACCCTGTTGCTAGCAGAGTGTTTCGTCACACACTAGTTTAAATTTTACCAACATCCATTATTCACCAATAACCGTCACTATTTATGACTACAAAAGCTGTGGACCTAATTAGTAGGTAGCTATGAAAATAAAAGTGAGTGCAGATTGTTTTTTTCATCGAATGGCGACTTATAATCCAGGATATCAAAACTATACGAAAATTTAGAAACTAACATATTGTCAAGAATGGATCGAAACTATAATTTTATTGGGAATACTTGAAATTCTCAATTCATTCAAGAACAGTACAATAACTTAGTCTAGATCATATTCAGCTTACAGGATATCAGTAGAGAATTACGATATTCAAAGAAAATTATAGTTCGTATTTAAATTTTATTATTATTCAAGTAAAGTCGCTGGCGGGCAGAAACTGCTGGTTTTGGATTTTTCCTAATCGAAGTGAATACACTAGTTTTTATGCTGAATCAATTACCACTACCAAAACGGACATGAGAATGTATTAGAGAAAAAACCGACAGTTGTGGTTCGAACAGTGGACCGTAAAGTATAGTTTTTCAAATTGGCTAACAAAACGTAAGTCTAAAACATTTTTGCATCATGTCTAAACTTCGTGAGTGGCAGTTCCAATCCTCTAACGAAAAGCGAGCCTTTCTGTAAATACGTTTTTTAATATTATTAGTTTTAGTTTTCCTGTTTTGTTTTTATTCGAGTTGGATGTATCTTGCTGGAAAAATGGTCAATTTATTTCATGCCCGAATAATATTTATTCAAGATGAATAAATTTGTCAAGTGGAATTGAATTCTTTAATTATAATTTCCATAAAACCTCTTGCAAGCGAGTAAGTTCGAGTTACGATTGTGGGGGTCAGTACCCACTCGTGACACTATCCCAACCATAATATACAGGGTGTCTCAGGTTTAACTCGTCTAACTTTGACAATCGATAGAAAAAATGGAGATTTTATACAAGTATTATTTTGTTTCGTCATGGAGAAACTTGTTTTCATTATAGTGGTGTTGAATTTCGCAAGCATTTTTGGTTTTCATTTTTTATCTCAGTTGAAACGAAACCTAGCGATTTGAAATTTGGTTAGCACTTTTTTATCGGCAATATGAATAGTCCTTGTCAATACAGGAGAATTAGCTACACTGGGTGTTATTTTTTTTTCCATATCCACTGATAATGGAACCCTACAGATTTTTTCCATTGGGACGCTAATGGCGAATTATTGCTGATGAAAAATGATCGTCATTCATTCACCTTGCTATCAGCGCTTCATTTGTTTTGATATCTTTCTGAGTTTCCTTGTTATTTGAAATATTGTTTCACTATGCATAACAGTTTTTTTATCTGACTGTTTATCTACATCGAATTATCCTTCGAATTGAATATTACATTGATCACGGACACGAACAATTCATTTCAGAGTTTCATACCTAGTAACCACTACATTTATTATTGATCATTCCCAATATTCAACAATGCCCAAGGCACACCATGAGAATATTGTTCAATGATACCAATCGAGTATGATGCGGCCAAAATGCGCCAGTTATGTCGTTGAACCAGCCGCACGAGCGAGGCAGACGTTGCATTTCATCGCACCTCGAGAATCATCGGATTCATGCAATTTCGTGTTTCTCACATTTCAACATTTAATCATTCAATCTGATTGTAAATTCCAAACCGTTCGGTTGATGTCAATAAAAGTATTGTTGAGTTTTTTTTAGGAAACGTTTTTCGTTTGTTGAAAAACTTGAGTGGCTTAGTCGGTAGGATACCCGAAGGCATCTTACGAAGATATTTGAGCATTTTATATTTCCTATATGTCATGGATTCCCTCCGATCCTGAATCCGAATCCGAAATTCCTATTGGTTTCGGTGCGGAACTTGAAGAAATCTTAAGTCATTCTCTACAATCTCTGAACTTAAACAATCAGTCTCAATCAGAATCAGTTCAATTAATTTCCGAAATCATGCCGAAGGAACAAAAGAGTATTAGACATGAAAATACTGCAAATAGTTCTCGAATTCGACGGAAACCCATCTTATCTTCAAACAGCTAGTGATTCATTGAACGAATATTACGATACAAGGCCAGGATTTAAAAAGTCTACACATAACAACATTTTACTACATAGTCTACTATCCTAACTTACTGGACCCGCTGAAGAGGTATTGTCTCTTAGTAGCACTAACCATTGGGAAACAATCAGAAATGTATTGATCACTAATTTCGGTGATCAAAGAAACGAGAATAATTTGATTTCTATTTTAGGCTCTCTGAGATAAAATCATAATGAGAATTCACTGCAGTTTTAATCTACAATTCAGACAAATCCCAATCTACTTCACAACTATATTAATTTGCATGAAGTCACTGATGAAGTAAAAAGAAGTAAAAAACCTTGTATGATACACATGCACTACATATTCTTCTTGTTGGGTTGAAAGGTCCCCAAAGTTCCATGATTCGATCAATGAAACCAAACAGGAGCCCAAAAATATGTAATCGAAGATAACAACATTAGATATTTGCGAAAAACATGTTCTAACTCGGTGTCGAGACCTCAAATAAGCAAACCGAAACCACAAAGTTATTTTCAGAACCCGTCACCGAACTTTTCACGAAATACCTACCAGAATTTCAATACTATTAGACCCCAATTTCCAATGCAGCAAAATTTTAGTCAACCGCAATTTTCACCCCAACACAATTTGAACCAACAACTATTTTCAAGGGATCCATTTCCTATTCAACCTAGACAAAACGGACCGTCGCAAAAGTATTTTTCAAATAGTCAAGTTTTTGGCAAGCCTCGTTACGTTTGGAAAACCCAGCACAGGATACATCTAATTATAAGCGCCTACTCCTATGAATGGCATGACTACAACTCAGAATGTCAACAGAATGAATTATCAACGACCCTATCACTATTTCCAACGCGATCCTAACCAAAAGCCAAATTTTATCGCAGAAGAAGTATATTATGTATGATGTCGATCCCTACGAAGATGACGAAGCGCACGCTCATGATCAACAATATTACCAACAATATGAGCAACAATTTATATCGCGAAAAAATAATATAATAATTCTATATTCAAAGATCCTTGAAATTTCATTTATTTGAATTCCACCAAAATTTTGATGGATTAATAGTCCTTGATATTTTGAAACAATCAGAAGCTCAAATAGATCTCTTGAACTCAATTATTCTCACACCACATTCTCGAAACCGAATCGAGTATTACGAGTCGAAAAGAAAGTGTTTTTTTTCATTGAAATAAAAGCCGGAACAGAGACAAAAATCTAAATTCCTGTGAATCAATCATCGGGAGATATTATTATATCCCCTGTAAAAATTAACGAATGTATTATACGAGAAACCTTGACCACCGCTAATAATGGTTACGCTTGGGTGGACCTCAAAAATCCAAATAATCACGATTGCCAAATTCACTTAGTCGAATTGCTTAATACGAATCCTTTCTGTTACCAAAATTACAAACTTTTCCATGCTGACATTAATCCTATTGACGACGGAAAATTGGCGAATAATAAACCTGACATTATTTGTAGACATTAACTTTGCCAATCATATTCAGATATTTTTCACTATGAGGGAAAAAAAGTTACATTCACGAACCAAGTTAAACATCATATAAACACGAGAGACGAGATTCCAGTATACTACTAATTGTATAGGTACCCGTTAATCCATAAGGAAGAAGCCCAGCAACTAATCAATACAATGCTCGAACAAAACATCATTCGTCCCAGCAATTCACTATTGTCGTCATTGTCGTCCCCGATATGAGGGGATATAGAAGGCAGACGCCAGTGGAAAAGAGAAATGGACGATCGTAGTTGACTACCGGAAAGTCGAACGAAAAAACGATCGACGACTGGTACCCGAGTTTGAACATCAGTGACGTACTGGACAAACTAGGAAGGTGCCAATACTTCTCCATGTTAGATCTCGCGAGCAGATTGAAATTGCTCCAGAAGACGTGGCCAAAACTGGTTGAACATGGGCACTACTTTTTAGAGAGTGATGGATAACGTACTCAAAGGACTGCAGAACGAAATATGCTTAGTATACATGAACGAGCATGATGATAATTTTATACGGACATTCAACTATTGCTAGACCTTACTGACAAATGAACTATACCCGGACTTCGAACTACCATCCAACTTGACATCAGATGCCAGCAACTTCACTGTAGGAGCAATCCTATAACAAGGACCCATCGGATCGGATAAGCCAAGTTCGTACGCATCCCGTACACTCAGCAACTCTGAACAAAGATTGAGAAAGAGTTGTTATATTTATTTGGCAGGAAATTACAGACCACAAACCTCTCGAGTAATTGGTTTAGTTTAAAGAACCCAACTCGAGGTACTGTAGTACACTGGAGGTGGAAACTGGAGGAGTTCGACTACCAGGTGGTGTAGAAGAGGAAAAATAAGAACACTAACGCTGATGCACTTTCCAGAATAGAAATTCACACCAAA